TATTATTATTATTATTATTATTATTATTATTATTATTATTATTATTAGTTTTTTTCCAAGACAGGGTTTCTCTGCAGTTTTGGGGCCTGTCCTGGAAACTAACTCTTGTAGCTCAGGCTGGTCTCAAAATCACAGAGATCCGCCTGCCTCTGCCTCCTGAGTGCTGGGATTAAAGGCGTGCGCCACCACTGCCCGGCTTAATAAACATAACTTTAAAAATTAAAAAAAAAACTGATAAGGTCAAAAGTGGCGGTGGAAGACAGGTGGCTTTAATGCCCGGCATCTATACACCCACACAAGTGCACATACACCTGAATGCACAAGTGCACGTACACACGGAGGTACACACACACACACACACAGGCTGACGTTAGCACGCTATCACTCCCTGACCACTCTATATTAAAATGGTCCTTCTCCCTCAGATGCCGTTTATTTTCAGCTCTTTGCCCGCAGTGCAGTCGAGAGCCACGTGTGGCCATTTCTCATCCCGCCACTTCAATCTCCAGTTTAACATTCTCTGCCTGTTTGTTTGCTTTCCATGATAGTGACATTTCTGAGAAGTCCCGGTCAACTTCAAGAGACAAGAAGAGCCATGCCTTCAGGGCTTGGCACTGTGCGGACGTTGTTTTCCAGGTAAACTGGACGGGCAGAAGGAACACTTGGAGCAGGGGGATGGAACAGACTTAATTTTTTTTTTTTTTGAGACAAGGTTTCTCTGTGGCTTTGGAGCCTGTCCTGAAAACTAACTCTTGTAGACCAGGCTGGCCTCAAACTCACAGAGATCCGCCTGCCTCTGCCTCCTGAGTGCTGGGATTAAAGGCGTGCATCACCACCGCCTGACCCGGAATTAATTTTTTAAATAGTGTTGGGAGTAGAACCAGGGACTTCAGACATCCTAGCCGTACTAGGAAGAGGCTCTACACTGAGCTACAGTCTCAACTGGGGTGAGGGTCATATTAAAAAACACTCCGTGGGAACTGAGAGGGTAGCTCAGTTGGCAGACTGCTTGCCAACCGTGCATGAGGTTTTAGGTTCAGTTCTCCTGTACCGCACAAATCTAGTGCGGTGGTGTACCTGTAATCCTAGCATTCAAGAGGCGGAGGCAGGAGGATCAGGAGTTGGCTTCTGCAAATTCAAGGTCAGCCTGGGCTACGTGAGGCCCTGTCTCGAAACAAACAAGAAGAGACAATAAAAACCAGCAAAACAATTTTAAAAAAAGCTTGTTTTCTCCAAATGTTTCTGTGGTTAGAGAGCCACCTGTGGGCAACACTGTCCCCTTCAAGACCACAGCCATTCTGAGGCCCAGGACACAGGACTCAGGGAAGACCTCTCAGTGGTCACGTAGGGAGTAGGTTAAGTGGCTATGCAAGAGGAAGGCCGTTTCTGACGTTATCCCACACAGATCTGGAGATCGCACGGGAAGACAGACTTCTGTGTCTGGAATGACTAAGTGCAGCTCTGCAGTAGCTCTGGCTAACGCACGGAGCAGTTCACAGGAGCAGAGGTCACAAGCTTAGTCCAGGAAGGCTTCTAAAAATGGAGAACGGAGTCAGTCTGTGCAGGAAGACACATGTCTCAGAGACAGGAAAGGGTCCGGCTGGCCAGTGCACAAAGCTGTGTGACCCGTAATCCCTTACCTTTTTTCAATCAAAATATCTATTATTATTATTATTATGTATCATTTAATATCTATTTGTTTCTGTGTGTGTACAACCTGTATGGGAATGCCCACAGAGGCCAGAAGAGGGTGTTAGATCCCCTGAGCTGCTAGACAGACAGGCAGTTTGGAACCACCAGACGTGGGTACTGGGAACCAATATGGTCCCCTGGAAGAGCACCCTGCTGACCCCCAACAATGCTTTCTACTCATTTGTTTATTTGTGTGTCTGTGTGTGCATGACTGCGGCACAGTGTGCCTGTGGAGCTCAGGGGACAGCTTGCAGAAGTCCCTTGTCTGGCTCCAGCCAGGGGATTGAATTTAGGTCACAGGCTTGGCAGCGGGCATCTTTATCTACCTTTACCTTTTGTCTTTACTTCATAGTTTCCCCTACTGTCCAAATGGAAAGGAACAAGGATTCCCCAACCCCACAAGGATCCCCATTGCATCGTGGGCATCATTATTATCTAGACGCTTAGGCACAGGATGCAGGCTTTGTTCTCAGAGAACTTGCTCTGGATAGTTGTACTTAATGCTCCTGAAAACCACTGTGGACCGTGAAGGAGCCAGATGAATCCAAGACCTGGTTACCTGGTTTCTTTCTTTCTTTCTTTCTTTTTTTTTTTTTAAGACTTTATTTCTTTATTATGTATACAACATTCTGCCTCCATGTATACTTGCAAGCCAGAAGAGGGCACCAGATCTCATTACAGATGGTTGTGAGCCACCATGTGGTTGCTGGGAATTGAACTCAGATCCTCTGGAAGAACAGTCAGTGCTCTTAACCGCTGAGCCATCTCTCCAGCCCCCAAGACCTGGTTTCTGAGTCTCAGTTGCTATAGGCTAGTTGGGGAAGCAGGCAGAACCAAGGTGAAGCTAACCGTAGTGGGGTAAATGAAGAGGAGGAGGAGGAAAGACTGAGGACAATGGGCTGGGGTACTAAGGGAGAGCATGTGGGAGGTGTCTGCAGGGGTGTAGAGAGATGGAGTGGGGTGGGTATGGAGTGCTATAACAAGACTGGCCTGAGCATAGAGGGCTGGGACGGACCTGGAGATGTGGCGGGTAAAGTGTTTTCTGTGCAAGCATGTGACCTGAGTTCAGATCACCTACATCAAAGTCAGGCATGGTGGTGTGCAGTTGTGATCCCAGTGCGGAGGGGCGCGTGGGGCAGAGGCAGGTGGGTCCCACAAGCTGGCTAGCCAACCAGCCTAGCAGAAATAGCAAGTTCCAGGTGCAGTGAGAGATCCTGTCTCAAAAAATAAAGTGAAGGATGATTGAGGAAGACATTTAAAGTTAGCCTCTGAACTCTACGATGCATGCACCAAGCATGCGTGTGCACATGCACACACCAAAGTATGCACATGTGCATGCACATGCACATATGCACACACACATGTATGCACACATACACTGCACACAGATTAAAATGAAAAAGGAGGTGGATATGATTAAAATACATTGCATACATGTATAAAATTCCCCAAAATACATAGAAAATATATTTAAAAATTAAAATAAGAAAGACACCTAGAATAATGAGAAACAACCAAAAGTCCACTGGAAGGCAGCCGGCTGAATAAATTATGGCATATCAACACGATGGGATCATAATGTCCCTCTCTGCAGATGGTGGTACATCCTGTGGTCCCAGTCACTCAGGAGGCTAAGGAGAGAGGAGCACTTGAGCCCAGGAGTTCAAGACTAGCAGGGGCAGCACAGTCAGAGCAGACGGGAGATGAGTAAGGCTGCTGACTCTCCCCAGGCACTGTCCCAGACGCGATGATCGACTCTCAAGCAGCCCTGTGCATCACTGTCCTGCTGTTTGTGAAAGGGGAGGGGGCGGATAAGTACGGTCGTCTTTGCTTTTGTTGGCAGAGAGAAACTTGGAGAACATAAATTACAACCTAGTAAAAGTGTTTACCGAGGGAGGAGGCACATGGGAGGGAGACCTTCCAGAAAGTTTAAATCATGCAAACGCATTTCCTATTTTCAAGTTAGAAACAGTTGGACAGGGTGGCTCACACCTTTAATCCTAGCACTCAGGAGGTAGAGGCAAAATCATGAGGCTCTCTGTGAGTGCCAAGCCATCCTGGTCTCCATAGTGAGTTCCAGGCTAGCTACATACTTTAACCCCATCTCAAAAACTCAAGTTAAAGCAAAGCCAGTGTGGTATCGCACACTGTTCATCTCACAAAGCACTTGAGAGATGGAGGAAGGGGGATGACATGTTCAAAATCACCCATGGCCAGGTAGCAAGTTTAAAGTCTAGCCTGGGCTACAGAGCACTCAGCTTTGGTAAATTAACAAACAAACAAACAAATAAAAGCAAGTAGAGATCTTGGTCAAGAAGGACCTAGTTCAATCCACGAATGGCCAGTCTTTGAATTCCTTGGTGTCTTATTTTATTTTATTTTATTTTATTTATTTGGGTTTTCAAGACAGGGTTTCTCTGTGTAACAGCTCTGGTTGTCCTGGAACTCACTTTGTAGACCAGGCTGGCCTCAAACTCACAGAGATCTGCCTGCCCCTGCTTCCTGAGTGCTGGGATTAAAGATGTGCACTACCACTGCCCATTTTAAAATTCTATTTATTTATACATTTTTAGATTTATTTATTTATGTGTATAATTTTTTTGTCTACGTGTGCACTATGTGTGCTTGGTCCCCTTAGAGGTCAGAAGAGGATGGTTGTGAGCCACCACGTGGGTGCTGGGAACCAAACCCAGGTCCTCTGGAAGAGCAGCAAGTGCGCTTAACTGCCAAGCCAACTCTCCCGTCCTATTAATTTATTTATTTTAAAATTACATTTATTTGGCGGAGGGGTGGTGGCCAGAGCACGAGCATGCCACAGTGCATGTATGGAGTCAGAGGACAATTTGCAAGAGGTAGCTCTTCCCATCTACCATGCAGGTCCTGGGCATGTGATTCAGGCTGGAAGGCTTGGCAGCATCTGCTGAGCCATCTTCTCTGACGTTACCCAGAGGGGTCTTACTAAAAATGTAGCAACCTCTCTCTCGGCTTGGCTGATTCTTCTGCGAAACAGGTTGTACATCAAGGTTTGAGAGGCTGTCGCTGGGAACCAGTGGCTACCAGAATGCCTCATAGGATCCTGAGCACGTAAGGGAGACTGGACACAGGGGGTCTGTTTGCTCTGACAGTGCAAGGGGATCCAGCCCAGGCCCTCGTGCGTGCTTGCAAGTGCTCTGCCACCAGGTGCCACCAGTGCCGCCTCAGTCTCTACCAGCTACGCATTAAGGAGATCTATCCTTATAGCTCCAGGAAAGATGCCGGGAAAAGGAGGGGCGGAGGGGCTGAAGGAAGTCACTTAACTGATTAGTCAATTAGCTGGTCAGCTGGCGAGGCTGAGGGTGGGACTTGTGAGCTCACACTGCAAACAGAGGGGTATAATTGCTAGTCTGGGGAACAACTTTAAAAACAATGGGCTTGGGCATGATTGGTATGTGAAGGCAAATACGCCGAGCCAGTTTCTTCAGCTGTGGACAGAGAAAGGGCAGGAGCTACAGTGAGGTTGTTAGGAGACCACAGGTGGAAGGCATACAGCCAGTGCCTGGCACACGCAGGACTCCTGTAAATGGTTGTTTATTTCTCCCAGGGCTGGCCCCTTTGCGCACAGGTGCGTCTTGGCTGGGAGTAGAGGACACTGAGGCCCTGCTGCTACCATCTCTGAGGATGATGGTAGCAGAGATGGTTGAGGCTGAGGTCTGGGGTCAGTGTATTCTAGGCACCCAGCTCCCTCCATACCTTTCAGCCTGGCGTGGTCTATGGAAGATCTAGGTTCGATGTGGAGAACCTGTCCCCAACTTCCGGTTTTACTTTGTCTCCCAGTGGCTTTGGAAACAGTTTCCCTCCTCAGAGTCAGAGCCTGACGTGGGGCTGAGGATGTGGCCTGGGAGGCAGAACATTGGCCTGGCATGTGCAGCCTGGGTTTAATCCCAGCATCACATACAACAGGCATG